ACTGACAACAATTTTAAGAAATTATGCTTTGCCCCAAATCATAAATTTTAATGCTAAAGTGTACAAATAAGTTTGAAGGTATACTTTTTCCTGTAAGAGTAAAGTGAAAGAGGCACCTTTAAATTCAAAAGACCATTGATATAATCTAATCAAAGTTTGTTAACTTTATTTATTTATTTATTTATTTATTTATTTATTTATTAATTTATTTATTTATTTATTTATTTATTTATTTATTTATTTATTTATTTATTTATTTATTTATTTATTTATTTATTTATTTATTTATTTATTTATTTATTTCATTTCATTTCATTTTTGCATGCGCTGTTTAGGTGGAAAAGTTTTACTGTACATTTCTATTTCAAATTTTAGTGCCAATTTTCATGTCTCTTATGACAGCCAGTCACTATGCGTGTTCTTAATGAACCAAAAGAGAAAAAAAACTTAACATGAAATTAAGTCTTTTTTCATGTTATGTTTATATAAATTTTAAGTATACAAGACAAAAAAGCTATTTTATATTAAACATCCATTTTGGATTAGCGCCAATGTGTATACATAGTATTAACAAAGTTTGTACTGGTCAAAGATATTTGTTTTGTCTTGATTTCATTTTTTTTAATTTTCACGTATGCAGTCACATTTGCTATATGTCTACCACGATAAGTACAAAGAAATTCTTCGACTTAAGCGGAGTTTTGAGTAAGGCGATTTTGACTGAGAGTCAACTGAATGTGACTTAAATGTGAATTACCTCCCGTTAGGATCATGATTCCGAGCGTTTGTAATGGTATGATGATAAATGAGTAATGTAATATACTTACCATAATCTTTAAATAACCAAGTAGTAAGGTTTACATGCAACATTTATCAAAAATCTATCACATGCAACATTTATCAAAAATCTATCATTTAACATATTATAATAAAACTAGTTAACAAATTTGAATATCAAGCCACAGACAGCATACGTAATCGCAGAAACTATTTTGCAATACTTATTTGTTCAAAAATGTGCACCATTTCAACTCGTACTAGTTTATTATATAATAAATTACATTGTGTATTCATTTCATGGTCTTATCTAACATGTTAAAGCAGTTTTTGTCCTAAAAAACATGAACATTATTCACGTGTATTACATTCTTTAAAGAGGTCGGCAAATTTTACATCGATCTACCCCATTAAATTTTCCAAGACATATTAGCAATTATAAGCACGTTACCTCTAACAGACTCTGCACATCTCCTGTTACAACTCCAGAAAACATTCTGTATGAACGATGATCAATATAAATGTAATTATATGCTATCAACGCGCGCAAATACAACTTTCAAACACGAAAACTCCATTAAATATGATACACTGTTTGAACCGTTCATCTTTCAAAATCAACACATTTTTTAATTTAAAAACTGATGTGCAGTTTAAAAGACAATATCTTGAGAATTTTAGTATATAGTAAATTATAACAGTTTTGTTTCATCCGGCATAAATGTCGTTCTTTCATTTAAAGCAAGTCTACCTTAAATTCACAAATAATATCCGTATAAAATCTGAATATTTGATTTCATTTAATATTAAAAAAGAAAATATATCAGAAATCTGTTCACAAATATATGTCGACACCAATCTATATCTATATTTGCTTTAAACCCTCCACCTTTTAAAGAATTGTCCATATACCCTAGGAGTACAGTTAAATCGCTAGTTCGCTATTTCCTCTTAATCAATGCAACGCATAGCTTATGTTTAGCTACTTTTATGTAAATTATCAATTGATTTGTAACATGGATAAGGAGTATTTATTCAGTATTGGGTCAGAAGTGTATTGAGGCTATTCTTTCAATTAAATACAAATATTTTGTCATTCAACCATGCACAGGGGTTTTCATATAAATTTCGAGCACAGCTTGTGTTCTTACTGATATAGGAGATATGATCCAAGGTTGCCAAATTCTTGAATGATGTTTAACAAATGTACGAGTTTTTAATCGAGCGTTGGTACGAAATTTAAGTATTTTAAAAAGTTTAATCATACATTTACATATTTTAACTTTTCTTAATCCAATAATGTTATATCTATGTAAATTATGTTCATTATTTATCTACTTTCGTCCGTTATACATTAAACCTTGAACAAATCCTGTTAATTTGTGTAACATTGACTGTGCTCAGCTTTGAATTTGACAATGTTCATGAATTTTTAATTTCAATATCAAAATTACGAAAATTGAACAGTTATATAACTCCCGTCTGATGTGAGGAAATTATACAAAAAGATCGAAGATTTCCAAAACATCTGATAATTTATAATTCTTAAAGTGGCATTATGCCGATCGAAGTGTAAAATGGTTATTGCAAAGGGAAAAGTCAAATTAACATTAAATTTTGCCATAATTATGTTCAATTTTAAATCTTAATGTAAAAATAATCAATAATACCTGAGATCCACTGAATTTTCAAAAAATATCGTCTGAAATTCAATTTTTAAAAAGAGTGGGGCAGTCTCTTTGTAATTTAGGTAGTTTTATATTTTATCCGAAACATTTTTCATGACAAATAACAGATTAATTACCATTATAAAGGTCAATCTTTAAAAAAATATTACTTTCAGCTCAACTTGACGGTAAAAAATGAGACTTTAAGGTGAAAAGGCAACATATGCAAATGTGTAATAATAAATGTAATACATGTAATTTCTTCCTTGAATTCGTGCAAAAGAATTTCTTTCAAGAAATAATTAATAAGAATATGCAAATGATACATTTCTATTCTTTTTTTGTCAATATTTGAATTGTATATTTATGGACAGTGTCCATTGTTGACCAATATACTTTAATTGATTTGATCTTACCGCACTTAAAATTGATTTAGATATAGTGAAAATGATTCTAGATTTCACATCTTTATACATAACACTGAGGGTATTTTCGATTTATATTGAGGGTATTATCTATAAGTGCGTTATAAGGAAGTTATGTTGTTTTAAGAATTATAGAAAAGAATTATAGCTAAGAAAAACAAACATCACAAAGAATAAAATCAAACAATTAAACAAAACAAAGCAAAGAAGAAAACCAAGACTAAACACGCGCCAATGTATAACAAAAACATCGAGAAATACTGCACACAACTTGTACACATGCTTGATAACAAGTTTAAATCTTAATTCATACAAAATGTCCCATCCTAAACGTATCAGTTCTGCTGCACTGGCGTTTGATAAATCATGATATCGGCTTAAGTGGGACTCAAACCAATGATCGCTGGTTATATTGGCAGACATCTGAACCATTAGGTCCACTTCGATCCTAAGCACTACTTGTTCATCAATGGTTACACCTATTACATGCTGAGAAAATAGTCGTCTGCTTTGTATGTATTTTTATTATAATAAAATATTGATAATAATAATAAATAATAATAATAATAAGTTGATAAAAAGGCGACTGTAAAACAGCTTTTCTGGTACTCGACAAGGCGCTAAAGTCTGGTCTGGTACCAGGCTGTTTACAAAGACCATTGTGATTATCGTCAACAGAATAAGAAATAGTTTTCATACTTACATATATACGATCGTAGTGCTTCTGTTTGATCAAATATTGTATCTTACAAGCCATGTTGAAACACTAGAAGATCCTAAAACTCAATCGAAATAACAGCAATCCTATATGAATAAATATCCGCTTTGAAACACTAGAACATTTATTCAATGAAAGAAATGGTAATCTATAAATTCAATCATATCTCATATTATTTTATTGGAAGAGGCAGATTTGAATTCATCATCGTAAATTTAATTGTAAAAGTGATTGATTGAACTAAAATCGATACGATGCTTCAATCAGTAGTCTTGTTTTCTCTCTAATCCTTGAATAATTGTCACAACGTGCGATAATCTGCATGAAAAAAATTCTTTGATGTATCTGTTTGTCAGCGTAGCAACTTCGTCACGAGTCTTTCATACGCGAGATACAAAAATCACGTGACTTCCTCTGTTTTCTGTTTGATATTCTAATTACGTATATGTTGATATACTTATTGCATCAATGTGAATACACTTATTTTTGTATACGTTGATACATAACGTTCATACACTAATTATCGTATACGTTGATATACTAATTATCGTATACGTTGATACATACGTTGATACATTAATTATCGTATCCGTTGATATACTTATCGTATTCGTTGATATACTGATGATCGTATACGCTGATATACTGTTTATCGTAAAGGTTGATATAAAGATCACCGTATACGTTGATACACTGTTTATCGTATACGTTGATATACTTATTATCGTATACGTTGATATACTGATGATCTTATACGTTGATACACTAATTATCGTATACGTTGATATACTTATTATCGTATTAGTTGATATACTAATTATCGTATACGTTGATATACTTATTATCGTATACGTTGATATACTTGGTTATCGTATACGTTGATATACTAATTATCGTATACGTTGATATACTAATTACTGTATACGCTGATATACTACTTATCGTATACGTTGATATACTTACTATCGTATAGGTTGATATACTAATTATCATATACGTTAAAAAATTAAATACCGTCTACGTTGATAAACTGTTTATCGAATACGTTGATATATAAGTTAATAAAATAAGCATCGTATACGGTGATACACTAATTATCATATACGTTGATACACTAACTATCGTTGTTTACGTTGATACACTAATTATATACTGTTTTTCAGTTTCTTATACCAGTTAGAATCCATGAAACTACCAATTATTTATATGAAGGGCCTGATCTTTTTTTATGGCCGGCAAAGCAGCCCTATGTCAAGTACCTATTACTTATTTCTAATCTATTGATAGAGACTGCATGAACCTGACGTAACGCTATATGGACTTGTGTTTGAATGATGTTCCATTCAAAAATCCAAGTATCCAAAGAAAAAAAATATATTGATAAATTTCTGCAAACTTTGATACCAAATATGTCAATATTTGTCTTAAATAAGTATAGAAAAGTTCCCTGTAACCAAGTGCATACTTTCTTTTGCAACATAGTATAATTACGTATACGTTGATAGGCAAATTACATAATATGTATATGTCATTCTTTTAATTCATTCGTGTGTTATATTGTGTGCATTACCACATCATTCTTATCAGCTAGCTAGTACGATGGTTCTACTCAATCGCGCACTGATGCCTTAAATAATACACGACGTTGACCTGAGCCCTTTTCTCCAACAATAAAGCTGGAAATGTCCTACCGAAACAAACATCACAAAATAATCTTCCTTAGGCACCAGTCGATTTAAGCACTAAAAACTGCAACAGATAAATTTCTGGCTGTGCACCAGAAAAAGAGCAGACATATTTTGGAGGAAATATTTTTTATATGAATCTAAATCTGTAATGTCTTAATTCTATCTCGATTATTTTTTTCCTTTTTTCTTCCTCTTTATTATCGCAATAAAACATTGCCTAAGCTGATATTTCAAATTCTACTTATTTTCGAATCTGGTAAATATCAGCTCCTAAATAATTCAAAGATAACTTAGAAAGATCTAAATGTAATCAGAGTGATATTTGTAAGATGATGCGAAGTACAGCCAAACCAGTGCTCAAGACCACCCTCGGATAAGTTGAAACATTCCAAGTTTAGTTCGATCGTGAAACCATGACGCTTGTCTTATTCAATATGAGGTCATATGGTCCATATACGGACATATGGTCGTAACAAAAGTAGGACTTGACATCACGGTCGTTTGCATTAGAAGAAGCAGTTACTTTTACTAAATGCCAGCCTTAGTTTTCAGATTTGTAACGCCATTATTATAAAGGGAGCTGTTATTAAAACACTACCAATCAACCAATGTCATTTTAACCCCCTCAAGACTGAACCTAATAGGCAGGTATCAGTTATTGATTTATTTATTTATTTTATTTATTTATTTTGTGTTCTTGTTTTGTTGTGCTTCTTTTTTTCTCAAGCATTTTGCGACTTTATTATTATCTTATTTCCGGCAATTTGCATTGGATATTGTTTCAAAGAAAATGTTTACAAACAGATTAAAATCTTCTCTGTATTATTGGTTACAGACTTGTTTTTTTTTCTGAATTATAACAGTTCCAAGAATTTCTAAAACACTGCGATTTATTAAATAGATTAGTTTATAAAAGCACCTTTATCATAAACTGTATCTAGGATTTGATATAAACTGGCGGCATATGAAATTTTGATTTATTACTTTAAGTTTTTATATATCTGATATATAAGTAAAAGTTTTGTACGAGCATTATTTTAGTGAAGAAAAAATATGAAGTTTGCAGTAAATCATGTTTATCTTGATTAAACAAGATAATGTATCAAGGTCTTGAACAATGTCCAATTTTAAGAGGTTGTTTTTGTGAATGTGGCCAAATGCATTTTGCATGACGATATCCAATTTTAATATTTTTGAATTAAGTGAACGAAATAAATACATGCACTAAGTATGGACATATTATTATGATATATTTCTTTATGACTGTTTTTTTTTCTTCTTCTTTTTTATAGATCTAGCATGTGGAAATGGGATCGTTTAAGTGTGTTTCCTTCCCGATGTAAGGACATTTTGTAAACGATCAGAGAAAAGAGTACGGTTTTCCTTTAGGATCTTCGTTGTTGCATAATAACGAGCCAACTTTACATCCAAGCTCGACATTCAAAAAAGTGACAAAAAACGAATTTCGAGTTGAATGTTGTGCTGAATGTAGTGCCAGCTTTATATCTCTGCTCTACATTAAAACAAAGACACACAAAAAATGAAATTCAATGTGGAGTTGAATGTTGTGCTGAATGTCAAACCAGCTCCACATACAAACTCGACATTGAAAGAGGTAAAAACTACGAATGGTGTGCTGAATGTCAAGCTCGCTTCATATGAAAGCTCGACATTCAAAAAGAGACAAAAACGAATATCGAGCCAAATGTTGAGCTGATTGAGTCTCTAGCCAGTTTCTCATATGAGCTAAACATTCAGAAACAGACGAAAGGAATGACGACACAAAAAAAGATGCTGAGCTTAGTGTTGTGTCTAATGTCAAGCCAGCTTCACGCCGGCATTTAAACAGAAACCAAAAATGAATGTGAAGCTGCATGTTGCGCTGAATGTTGAGCCAGCTTCTCATCCAAGCTCGACATTTAAAAATAAAACAGACCAACAATGAATGTAAAGCTGAATGTTGTGCTGAATATCGAGCTTTCTTCCCATCCCAGCTCGATTGTAAAAATAGAGACAAAAACGAATGCTGAGCTGAATGTTGTGCTGAATATCGAGCTTTCTTCACATCCCAGCTCGATTGTAAAAATAGAGACAAAAACGAATGCTGAGCTGAATGTTGTGCTGAATATCGAGCTTTCTTCACATCCCAGCTCGATTGTTTAAAATAGAGACAAAAACGAACGCTGAGCTGAATGTTGTGCTGAATATCGAACTTTCTTCACATCCTAGCTCGATTGTAAAAATAGAGACAAAAACGAATGCTGAGCTGAATGTTGTGCTGAATATCGAGCTTTCTTCACATCCCAGCTCGATTGTAAAATAGAGACAAAAAACGAATGCTGAGCTGAATGTTGTGCTGATATCGAACTTTCTTCACATCCCAGCTCGATTGTAAAAATAGAGACAAAAACGAATGCTGAGCTGAATGTTGTGCTGAATATCGAGCTTTCTTCACATCCCAGCTCGATTGTAAAATAGAGACAAAAACGAATGCTGAGCTGAATGTTGTGCTGAATATCGAACTTTCTTCACATCCCAGCTCGATTGTAAAAATAGAGACAAAAACGAATGCTGAGCTGAATGTTGTGCTGAATATTCGAACTTTCTTCACATCCCAGCTCGATTGTAAAAATAGAGACAAAAACGAATGTCGAGGTGAATGTTGTGCTGAATATCGAGCTTTCTTCACATCCTAGCTCGATTGTAAAAATAGAGACAAAAAACGAATGCTGAGCTGAATGTTGTGCTGAATATCGAGCTTTCTTCACATCCCAGCTTAATTGTAAAAATAAAGAAAAAAACGAATGTCGAGCTGAATGTTGTGCTGAATATCGAGCTTTCTTTACATCCCAGCTCAATTTTAAAAATAAAGACAAAAAACGAATTTCGAGCTGAATGTTGTGCTGAATATCGAGCTTTCTTCACATCCCAGCTCGATTTTAAAAATAGTGACAAAAACGAATGTCGAGCTGAATGTTGTGCTGAATATCGAGCCTTCTTCACATCCCAGCTCGATTGTAAAAACAGAGACAAAAACGAATGTCGAGCTGAATGTTGTGCTGAATATCGAGCTTTCTTCACATCCCAGCTCGATTGTAAAAATAGAGACAAAAACGAATGCTGAGCTGAATGTTGTGCTGAATATCGAGCTTTCTTCACATCCAGCTCGATTGTAAAAATAGAGGACAATAACGAATGTCGAGCTGAATGTTGTGCTGAATATCGAGCTTTCTTCACATCCCAGCTCGATTGTAAAAATAGAGACAAAAACGAATGCTGAGCTGAATGTTGTGCTGAATATCGAGCTTTCTTCACATCCCAGCTCGATTGTAAAAATAGAGACAAAAACGAATGTCGAGCTGAATGTTGTGCTGAATATCGAGCTTTCTTCACATCCTAGCTCGATTGTAAAAATAGAGACAAAAACGAATGCTGAGCTGAATGTTGTGCTGAGTGTCGAGCCAACTTTACACCCCATCTCGAAATTCATAAAAGGAGCCAAAAAAATGTCGAGCTGCATTTTGTGCTGAATGTCGCACCAGCTTCTCATTCCATCTCGACAAAACTTCTCAAAAATAATAAATCGAGTGTCGATCTGAATGTTGTGCTGAATGTCAAGCCAGCTTCACATCACATCTTAACATTGATAAATCGAATGTCGAGCTGAATGTTAAAATTATTGTCGATCTCTGTGCCCATTTCAAAGACTTACAAAATTACAACAATCGTATATCACTTATTTAATGCGGATCATTATTTCGTTGATATTCATCCAGATTTTACTCCAACTCAACTTTATTTATTTATTTATTTATTTATTTATTTATTTATTTATTTAAATAGCAATTTCATTAAACATACAAAAAGATGTATCAATTTATATGCCATGCCCAACAACATTGCGTTCATATCAAGAATTGCAAAATAATAGTGAAAACGAGCTCTAATTTACATTGTGGTCGCTTTTCCCTAGTTAACTTATTTCGACCAAATTTTCAATCTGCGTTATAACTGAGGTAACTGTATCGTTGTCTCTTTTTCTCATTACATTGACGCAAGCCATGAAGCCAAGCTATTAAAGAGTGAAAAATGAAAATAACATTTGGCTGCACGTGTTTTCATTTTGATAAATTGTTGAAACATATTTCACTTAACTCTACGTTAATTTCATTGAATTATCATTTTGAGTGCCAAGAAATATTTTTACAAAACCTGGATAATGTGGAAATCGTATACGTCAATTAATAGAAGTAAAAGTACGCCCATTTTCATTCTGACAGATACATCAACATCCAATCAGGATGTTCCTGAGAAACACAAAGTTTGTAGTTGCTCAGTATTTCCATGATCTGCCATTTCCATTTTCTAAGTACGTTAGAAAGGATATTAAGTTTTGCAAAGAGAAATTTTGTGCATCAAAATGTATTTACTTGGTGTGATTGTTTTGTTTATTGTAAATGCCATCAATGGAGCTTCCATTGAACCTATCTGCTCCAAATTTTCATATGAAGAACAGCTTCTAGAAAAGATGGTTCGTCTGGAATTCTTTGCGGAAAATATGCAAAAGGATGTTAAAACTAGCTTAACGGACAGTAAAAATGAAATAAACGGAATGATTGACAAACAGTTGGAAATGTCTAAAAATATGACGGACTTTTCAGCAAGTATGACAAGTTTTGGACGTCAGTTCGGGGAATTAAAGGAAAATGTAACAATCAAAACTGAGGCAACTCTAAAAGGAACTTCTGAGAAAGTAGAGGTGGAAATCGAAGAATTGAGGACAAATATAACGTTAACAAACGATAAAGTTCTAAAAGGGATTGTCGAAGAAGCGAAAAAACAAGAGCAGAAGTTTGAAGAATTCAGGACAATTATAACGTTAACAAACGATAAAGCTCTAAAGGGGATAGTCGAAGAAACGAAAAATCAGGAGCAGAAGTTTGAAGAATTCAGGAAAAATATGACGCTCATAAATGATAAAGTTCTAAAGGAGATAGTCGAAGAAACGAAAAAACATGAACAGACGATTGAAGGAATCAAAACAAATATAATAAACTCAAATCAGAAATTTCAGACGGAAACAACCGAGGAAGTGAAGAAACTTTCTGAGAAGATTAAAGAAGTCCAAAAAAGTGTGACTGATGTGCAGAAACAAAACTTGAAAGAGATGGAAGAATTGTGTATGCCACATTTTTTCACTGCTTTTTTCATCATATTTGCTTTTGCATTTACCAAATTCTCACATTATTATATATAACATGTATTTTATTTATGTTTTATTTAAGAAATAGTACACATCATTGAGTGCGTCATGGCGGAAGGCTGAGGTCCGCACAATGTTTGGGCCTGGCTGGGATGTTACTATTATGCTTTGAGGTCGGAAGTACTGTGTGCTGTTTCTTATATTATTCCTAACTTTCCTAGAACATAATAGTAAAAGTTGAAATTCATCTTGTATTAAGCACAAAACTTCTTGAAAAATGTATTGAAAACTGTTGCCAGTCAGCTTATATTACGCTCGTTTTATTAAATAGTCCTCGCGGTAACACGCCGCTAAATTTTAGCGGTCCGCCGAACCCAGGTGGCCTTTTTGTCAGACTGCTGACGTCATCGTGAATAATATACTATTTAAACGTCCGAAAATAAAAAAGAACATATTAATGTAAGGTATCTTACAATGAAATAACAATTTAGAATGATTTAGAACATGTGAGATGGTTACCACCTGCAGAAAATTTCGTTGAATGTGGGAGTATTTTTGAAAAAAGGAAGCAAAATGTAAATACAGTAATTTGACTTTCATACATAATCAATATAACGGTAATGATTACCTTAATGCAAACGATGGCTAAGTATATGACCAATGAACTGTTACATGACACATAGAAAAAGAAAAGCTTTTGAAATATAAAAAATATAGGATTTATAGTCCTAATGGGTCTGTTATTAAATGTTTTCATAGACAAATGGTACATTGAATGGCTTGCATGTAATCGTCTATGGTGCTTACTTAAAATCATACCAAAATATCTAACTTAGTGAATGATGTTTGTAAATGATTGAAAAAGTAGATAGCACAAGCGCGAGACCATTGCTTATTCTATAAAATTGTTTAAAACAATAACAGATTAATAATTTTATTTTATCGCCATTTAACAGTTATTTGTTTTAGAAATAGAAAAGACAATGGCTCTGTACATAATCTTGACTTGAATTATTTATAAACATTTGTCTTTTAATTATAGCTATATTGTCTACTATTATCTTCAGATTCTTATTTGTGTGTCATCCTTGACTCTAAAAAATGATAAATACCAAAGAGTTGTAACTTATTGATTGATGTATATAACTTTTCCAACTTGGTACATAAAATAACATTTTATTCATTAATGAATATTTATTTGTTATACTTCCAGTCAACAAGAAACACCCACTCGTGGCATTCAATGTGTATGCAATAGCCAAAGATTACCCCGGGTCCAAAGTTATGTTTAAGAACATTCGTCTAAATGAAGGAGGTGGGTTCAGTACAACAACGAGCATGTTTACCGCTCCGGTATCAGGACTCTACCAGTTTAATGCTCATATCTGTTTCGAGAAAGGCAGTGAACTGAACTATTACATATACATAGGGGGCATTTATTATGCAAGAGGAGAATATGTGGTTCCGGGTGCTGCTTCGGATGGAAAATGTATGTCCATTAGCACTGTGGCGCGTGTACAAAAATCGCAAACAGCTCACGTCGCAGGAATACCATCTAGTTATATATTTGAAAATGTTGATGACATTAACTCGTTCTCCGGTGTTCTTATCCGTGCAGTTTGATGTTTTAAATTAAGAAGCTTTACCTTTGTCCAGATTTTGTGACAGACTATTTGATAATATTCTTTGGATATTGAGTCATACAATGTACTTTTTGTTACATTGTGCATTTGTTTGCTTATTTGTTGTTTCCTATTATTCGAATAAAGTTGACATGACGGTTTTTTCCGTCAAATCGCCAAAATGTTACTTTTTGTGTAACCACTTTTTCATTTGATATTACAAATCCATTGAGTATAGATGTAAATGTGCAATGCAAGTTGTTAACCTTCTGTTTAACTATTGATATCATCAGCTTTATTAATGAAGGAAATCATGGTAATAACAAATTTTCTAGGAAGACAGATGGAGACATTTTAATTTTATGAGTTCTATTTCTTCAGTTTACCTTCATTCTTAAAGGCGTCTTCTTCATGAAACTATCCACGGGGTACTGTAAGTTTATTGACTTGCTAAGAAACTTATCAATTTGTTATTTTGCGAAATAAGATTTCTACTAGTATTTATCAAAGTTGTTATAATATACATCCATGGCTAATTGAACTGTGCTTTATAAATGATAAGAAGAAATAGTTTTGTGATTTATGCTGTAATATCATAATTGTATATACGTACGCTCGTATATTGTTTACTAATATTTTACTTGTTACTAAACACATATATTAATATTGAGATTAAATGTGTGAAATAAATGAAGCTTGTTAACAAAAAAAGTATTGTTGTACATAATTAATACATGTTTAAATATATAATCTTAAAATATTGCGATTTTTTGTTTAGCCAGATCAAACAAATGGTATAGCAAAACATGGTTGTTTTTTTAGTAATCATATTGTGTAGGTTTTTTTTCCAACAAGATTAAGTATCGATTAAAGCAAAATTCAACATCAACATCAAACTCCATCGCAAGAAAACTGGGTAGTTCAAAATTAACAGGAATGTAGCGATTTCTGCCAAGACTTGTACTACTGTATTTAAAAAAAAATCTTAAGACATAAAAAACACTAAATAAATACGAAGCAACTGTCCGGTATACTTCGTCGATATACAATTTCCGAAATTTGCGAACCATGCAGCAGTCACTTCCCGATATCAGTACAAAAACAACCATCCTGCCGTCACAAAGCCGTGTATATTTCTTTCACTTTTAAACTTAATTTAATACTTTCTATCATTTATTTTTATTGATTTATTTTTATTCAGTCATTTTGCTTAATTTACAAAATAGAATAAAAGAATAGTTCTCAAAAATAACGAAACAAAAGAGTAATATAATCCTGTTCCCTGCTTACCCTGATTGTAACGTAACTTTACAGGTACATGTCATCCAGACTAACAAGTCAAGCAAGTCAGGTATACAATATAATTATGAGAAAAAAAATTCTGAAAAAAACTTTTGAAGCCGAATTATAAACTAAGTTACATGATAACAATATACAAATCACAAATAAATGAATAAATTAATAATGCATATTAAAATACCCCGGGATCATTGCAAATCTGGTTGATGAAGTATATTTATATAAAAATAAAACTGCATCAGGAAAAATAAAGCTTTGCTACAAGAATTTGATAAAATATAGATTATCATATAGCAAATGTCACACGAAATGTAACCTAAACAAACAAAAATAAAGTAATTATGGTGGCATATTTCTGCCACCAGATAACCTGATAACTAACTAGTTAATTAAGAGGGTTAATAAAACATATTGGCTAAAATATACAGATTATGAATATACGAGTAAAAAGCTGCTCCGCTAAAGACAATAGGCTGGTGACGTCGTTAACGTCGATTTTAAAGTTATACGTGCGCCGCAATGCTTTACATGTACATGCCAATAACAGAATAACTTTCTATTTATTAATATTTTTGTTGATATCTTTTGTATCATTTAGGGGATAGATGACGATTTAGCTTCCGTCTATTTTTATATTTTTTGGTAAATGCATTTAACAGGTAAAGAATCATCTACAAAATAGCTGGTAAGACAATAGAGGATATTTGTTTGTTTGTGTATGAGATGAAATAAAATTACATCTTACACAACAAACAAACAAATTTTCTTTTATTTTACGCTTAAAAACAAGTTAAAACGAAATTTCCTTGATATTTACTTTAATATCAAAATCTGTTTTCCCCACTGGTCGCCTCTATTGTGTAATGTTTTAGTCAAATTTCTCATTACACACAAGAAGTCTTGGGCTGAAAAATAAGTTCGATAATCAACGTTGAATGGCGGTGATATTATTCATTTTATTATAAAGATATGATTCATCACTTCTTTTAATAATAAAAACACAAACAATTCTAGAAGTCTTGAGGTACCACATGGGGAAAATTTTAAAAAAGTAGTTTCTTCATTGAAAAGTGTGAAATCATATTTTGATAATTTTCACTGTGAAATTATCAAATATAATTTTCACGGATAAATCAGTAATCCACTGAAAAGCATAAAATAAATAATGATAAGCTACCCGTCAGACAGTTGGTAAAGGCTTGCTTCCTAGTTCATTCTAACACTGACTGTAGGATGAGACAAGCCTGAATGTGCCTGATGACAGTTCCATAGCCTGGCTGCCTTGTAGCGTAAAGACTTTTTACCATTACGTTCAACTTTGGTGGCTGATTTGGTACACTTTGCGCGTTGCGTTGCGTTGTCGATAGCGACAACACAACCTATATCGTTATCACCTTTTCGCCTTGTCGTCTTTTTGCTAGGGTACGCACCAAACGGCGTGTTGTCGCACTGTCGTCTTGTCGTCCTGTCGCTAGCGAAGCACGCCAAACGGCGCGTTGTCGTGCAGCGTGTTGTCGCGATGGCGCCCCACTGCTTGGCGCCGTTTGGCGCTTTGTCGTGCTGTCGCTAGCGACAACACGAAGCACATAAGTTATACCAAATCATCTACCATGTTCAGCTCTTGGTAATGTATGCAATTATAATATTAATTCAATGCCTGTATCACTGTTTCTATTTTGTCTATGTTATACTTGTAATTAATAAATACACCTTTGCCAGGTACCGTACATTATTTTGTTGTTGTAATTGCTTTAAAGTTATCTTTACCAAATGTGCACATCAATTCATATTATGAGTCAAACAAAGTAATTTGAGCTATATTTACTATATTACATCATATTTTAAAACGTCATAATCTTAAAAACCATCTGTATTCCTGTTAGTTTGCATCATTTATCGAAATTTGATATTCCTACAATCCCGCAAAGGTATAAAACATACATGTATGTTTGATAACTACCGTGCGACAATGATCGTGCGTTAATCGCCAATCAAATACCAAAAAGTCTGACACAATTTGTGTGTATTTGGTTTAAACATATTTATTCAACAAAACATTTAACAAGTGAACAATATTTACAAAGTACATTTTGGGATTGGGCAGAAAGCTATAAAGCTTATGAATGTCCTCTCCCAGTAATAATAATTTAAAATAACACAGTTCATGGCATTATCATACACAAAGGTTAGTTGAAGTATTCAAAGACATTCACATAATAGTTAAGAGTTAAGTATTTAACAATGTAACATATTTAAGAGCAAACAGTAAAAAGGAGACAAAAAGAAAAAAAATGATTGTGTGTATTTGAGTTTATTTATACTCGCCACCGGTTGTCTATATGAGCGAGTCCTCAAGAAGAGTATTAGTCGTCTTAGGTTTCGGATGATAGTGCAAGGTACAGATACAGACAGATGCCCCAATTCAAAAAACTTCTTAAAGTTCTTTAGCGTGCCAAGTGTTTATGCACTCATCCGAAAGACTGATTAGTAATTTCAGTTAGCCAGCCCGATTACAAGTCTCGTGTTGTAACCGATTGAACTATGCTGGCTTGCATTTTTCTGACTCAATTCCATGTTTAAAGCGCTTATATAACATCTTGTGACAGTTGACTATGGCACAATGCAATGTTCATACACAATAAGTCTTTTATCAAATATTGTTATGACAGATTTCCCTAGTTTAAAACGGGTTTTTTTTTATACTCACGTTTTACTAAAACTCAGAAACAGTTCCGAACAAATCAGCATTATCTTCCGAGTATACCGCAGTACAAAGTATTTTTTGAAACTATTTTAAAATGTCTCATATTGCAATATTTTTTTGAATTAATTGAATATTGTACTGAGAACCTTTACAAGTAACTTTGAGTTTGATACATAATACAAATACGCGCACAAGAACATATGCACACACATAAATTTACTAAATTCTGATTTTCTGTGCTGTTTAACGTTTTAATATATCCACCGGCACACATTAGTACTCCTTAATTAATAAATGTTATGCACTTTATCAGGAAACACAATATCAAATTTTGCAAAAAAAATTTTGATTACGCAATTTTATTGAAATTTCATAACTCTGGAATTTATGTAAACTCCTACATGGTTAAAAAAGAAAAGTAAAAGTTGCTGAATTGTGATTATTGGGAAGGCTTTTTTTCTAGTTACTATTTGACTTTTTTTTCCAATATATGTTATGCCCACTTCGTCTACGGAACAGTGTGAGTGTTCGAGACTGTACAGACCTTACATGGCCTCAGGGTTACATGGAATTGTTTCTTTATACAAAGTATTAAAGTACCTAAAGGCAAAAAACGCATTTACAAAAATCACATGACTGCAACATTTTCTTTTACACTCCTCTGCTTTTTACACGTAAAAAGAAAAATCAAATTTCAAGAAAAACCCTTGTGCAGTCTTTTGATTTTATGTTTGCCAATATACTGCTAAATAAGTAGACACATTTCCTAATTAGTGTTCCTTTCAGTAAATATAAAAAATCACAAAATCAGCTAAAACGAACTCACTTTTTTCATTGTTGTAACTTTTTCTCTCAGAAAACTAATTCCGGCCAAACTTTTCAATCTATTTTAACACCTTTACGTTACTGAACCGTTGTTTCTTTTTTTCTCTTTAAATTGACGCAAGCCATGAAATTGGCTGATGACACAACAAAATAACATTTGAGCCGCGTCACGACAAAACCAACATAATGGGTTTGCGACCAGCATGGATCCAGACCAGCCTGCGCATCCGCGCAATCTGATCAGGATTCGTGCTGTTCGCTTACCAACTCTATTACAAGTAGAGAAACTAATAGCGAACATCATGGATCCTGATCAGACTGCGCGGATGCGCAGGCTAGTCTGGATCCATGCTGGTCGCAAACGCATTACGTTGGTTTTGTCGTGACACGGCTCATTTGTGTACCAATGTTGTTATCTTGATAAATTGATGAAAATATTTCCCTTACCAGTATGGTTTCTGATAAAATATTTCATAATATTATCATTTTGAGTGCCAAGGTTTATTTTACAAAACCTGGTTAAAGTGAAAATCGTATTCTTCAAGTTCCGCCCATTTTCATTTTGACAAATACGTCAACATCCAATCAGTTCGTACCTGAGAAACACAAAGTTTTAAGTTGCTCAGTATTTCCGTGATCTGCCATTTCCATTTCCTAAGTGCGTTAGAAAGGATACCGGTGTTAAGTTTTGCAAAGAGAAATTTTGTGCATCAAAATGTTTTTACCTGGTGTGCTTGTTTTGTTTATTGTAAATGCCATCAATGGAGCTTCCATAGAACCTATCTGCTCCAAATTTTCATATGAAGAACAGCTTCTAGAAAAGATGGTTCGTCTGGAATTCTTTGCGGAAAATATGCAAAAAGATGTTAAAACTAGCATAACGGACAGTAAAAAGGAAATAAACGGTATGATTGACAAACAGTTGGAAATGTCTAAAAACATGACGGACTTTTCAGCAACTATGGCAGACTTTGAACTTACGTTCGGGGAATTAAAGGAAAATGTAAAAGTCACAACTGAGGCAACTCTAAAAGGACTCTCTGAGAAAGTAGAAATGAAGTTCGCAGAATTCAAGAAGAATATAACGTCCACAAATGATAACATTCTAAAGGGATTAGCCGATGGAGCAAACAAACAAGAACAGAAGTTTGAACGTTTCATGACAAATATAACGAGTTCAAGCCAGAAAATTCTAAAGGAAACAACCGAGGAAGTTAAGAAAAGTGTGACGGAGACAATGGCAGAATTGAGTATGCAAAGTTTTTTTTCTCACTTATTCTCCATTATAGAGCTTTTTGTTTTCTTACTGAATTCAGATAGATTTAATTTCTCATTAAAATATATACATATATTAATAATGAAAAGAAATCCTTCAATTTGGGTATGATCGTAGAAAACTAAATTGATTTTCATCTTAATAAAAATAATACCGAAATTGCAAAAAAAATGGCTTGTAAATTCTCGAAAAGGCGGATGGCTCATGCACGAAATTGTTACTGCCGATTATTTTTTGTTAAGGAATATTTCATTCCATTGTAATATGAAAATTGGTTTTGAATAGCAAAGGGAAAAAGAATAAGACTTTATTTGATTGTAAACATATTTTAATAATGAATAAGTTTTGATTGTAAACAGTTTTTAATAAGAAAGTCGTCGGCTTACTAGTATCTTTTGCATCATATCGACATACCCTAATCTTTCTTTGTCGTTCGTGTAAGTAAAATAATGAAAACAAACCAAAAGGTTACAGTTGGGTATAAATTTATATACATAAATCTAACACTTTCGCTTATGTATGCAATTAATGTTTTTTAATTTGTTATACTTTCAGTCAACAAGAAACACCCGCTCGTGGCATTCAATGTGTACGGTACAGACTCAGAATACACCGGCAAAAAGGTTCCTTTTAAGAAAATTCGTCTAAATGAAGGAGGTGGGTTCAGTACAACAACGAGCATGTTTACCGCTCCGGTATCAGGACTCTACCAGTTTAATGCTCATATCTGCTTAGAGAAAGCTGTTGAAACAGACTATTACCTACAAGTTGGCGACACTAAACTCGCTAGAGGGGAATACGTGGTTCCAAATGCTGCTACCGACGGAAAATGCATGTCTGTCAGCAGTGTTGCTCTTGTCAGAGAATCACAGACGGCTTACGTCGGAGGAATATCTTCTAGTGCTTCTTTTGTCAACAATGACGACTTAAACTCGTTCTCCGGTGTTCTTATCCGTGCTACATAATGACACCGAAATTTGTTTTTATTAATCTTTGTTCAGATTTTGTGAGATGCTTATGTTACTTGACATTGAATCACGCAATGCTTTGTTGGTATTACTGTTGTTGTTAGATTGTGTGTTTATGGTGTTTTAATGTGTTTGTTTATTTATTCATTTTTTTATTTTCAAACATTTATTTATTTATTCATTTATTTACTTACTTTTTTTATTTTACTTTACTTACGCAATGTTGACTTGACGGTTTCTTCCTTAAAACCGCCATAATGTTACTGCAGTCTTCAATAAAAAAAAGTATATGCTTTATACATACTACAATGTATATAATCTAATAAAATATTGCGATTTCGTTTAGCTAAATAAAGCTTAAATTGTAGCATATTAAAATTGAGCATACCTCTAGATAATATGAATTTGACAAATCTGGCGGAGTTCTAATTTGAAAAAGAACAACAAGAATACGAAAAAAATTATAAATGTGATCCGTAATTATGTTGATAATTTTTATATCATGCCCCTATGAATCTCTTCAACAAAAATGGAGCACAGATGAAATTTTGACCATCAATTCTTTCGTTTCATTTAGGCTTTATTTGAATTTTACGCCACGTTGGGTAAAACTTTGTATGATGTACCCGTTTAGTAACATTTTTTTCTTCATACAAATTGCATGTTTTGGACACAGCAGAACCCTCGACCGGTGAGAATATCTCATAAAAAATGGGATTATAAGAGGAAAACGTCGGGTCAAACGTCATTTGAAACGTTTTTGGAGAAAACTCAATCGGTTTGATTCACATGTCCAGTTTTTATACGATCATTATAAATCTTTGTCATAATTTACGTACATAAAAGTGCATAGCTTGGTAATGTGGACACAAAACATTTAGGTCCGGTCTTACTGAGATAGTATTAAGATAACAATCACTGTCGCACATGTTTTAATAGATTTGTTCATGCGGCGAAATATGTTGGGGTTTTTTTTGCCACATAGACGGATCCTGGTATGCGTTAAAAATAACCTCACAAACGACATCCGGAAGCGGCGTAATATTGCTAGTTAGCGTTTCAAATACTAATAACACAGTTAGGAAACTTTCATGTTTTCTATATGACGTATTATTATAACATGGATGGAAAGCAAGCGTTCTTTTGACAAGGAAAATGTAACAGACTAAAGGATAGCAAATGATCTAATAACACAGAAAGTTAAACGAATTCATGGTAATTTGGCAAGAACGTGTTAGAACGTTTGAAAACGCAAAAAAATGTTCTAGAAAGATGAAAAAGAACTTTTTACATATATAGGAATGTTTTATTTCTATTTAAGAAAAAAATGAATGAGTATATAGTACTTAAAATTGACCCTTAGCTTGCTGGCGGTAACTTATTATACCATACCAATATCAGCCGGAACATCCGTATTGTCTGATCATGGTCTGCACTGTTCAGCGATTCAGTCTGTGCATAAAATGATTAATGGTTTTGTCCAGGTTGAAGTTGTATAAGTCAATTTAAGAGAGTTTGTTTGCTCGGTGAAAGATTGAATGATAGTTTTGCAAAGGAAGGTAATGACAAGGAACATATTATATATTTACGACAAAGTTACTCCCCTTTCTTAAAAAGTATATCAGCAATTTGATCAAATTCAGCTCCTAATGAACACTATGCAAGAAATAACTAAAAACTTGAGTAGATCTGAATTTTAGTCAGATTTTCTTTATAGTCAGTCAGTAAGAGACCTTAACAAACCTACCACGATGGTCCACTCTATTCTTGTTATACACCCGAATAGATGCATAAACCATAATTAAAACATTTGGTGTCAATCTGTCCATCGTTATGAATGCTTAAATAGTGTTAAACTTGCAATCCCTTTTATAATGTTCTATGTGCCAGGCAATCGGATGTCAGAACCTGGTCCACCTTGTCAACCTCAAATAACTTTTATCATTGTAACATATAAATGAGGCATCTGTGTCATTTATAAAACTTGTTTAATTCAATTTCCACATAAAAACAAAAACCCTCACTGCCTTTGATGGTTTTCATAACTAAAATGTACAATGAATCAAACTTAGTTTATGATAGAGAAAATGCCTCATTGTTAAAAGGTACTTACATTTGAAGGTGTGGTCAGGGTCTACGTCCCACCCAGTCTCGTCCGGGTATCTTTACTAATAACTGTCAAAATGCAATAACGTAGTCTATGTTAGGAGGAATGTCTATTACTGTGTGTGTTTTATTGCTGCTTAAATCGTTAATATGTTTATGAAGTTTCATCATATTCCATCGTGTTTTTTTCAAAAAAAACAACAACAAAAAACGAGAATATCTAGCCTATGTTACTTTTAAAGAAGAGAAGATATTGACCAACAAAACATATTAAAGGTCTATCACAAAGTGAACAAATGACATTTAACCGTAATAAATCTAAAGAAAGTGAGCGTGGTCAAAGTGACCTTAAAGTACTTCCTATCTGTACCCTGGGACATACGATAATACGTTATCGAATGTCCCAGCTGTACCATGCTTAAAGCTTTGTCTTATTTATACAGAATTGTAAATGAATAATTGATGAAGTGATTTTAACCCTGTCAGTTTAAAGCTCTATTACTGATATAGTTAGTCAGCCGTGCACGCCACTGTTTTTGTTGAGCAAACACCGCTACCATAGTTAATAGAGCCAATATTGGCTTAGTCTTTGACATTTCACTAACCGCGCTGTTTATTCTAAAACCCAATACATACATACCCGACCCGATCGGTTGGTCGGTTGTCTATTTATAACCGCAGATATCGATATATTGTCCGCTTATATAGGTTTTCTACAATGAAACGCGCCGTGACAATGTAAATTGATTGTTCAATATTGAATTCAGAGTTTAAATGTACAGTCTACCAGTAAAAGTTAAACCTTGTGTTATCACGCTGGAGGATATAATATTTCTGATTTAGAGGATATCTTAATACATTAATCAAATTAAATATATAAAAGTAAGCCTTTTAGATAAGTTCGTTCCTGAAGTTCAATACGTTAGCTTTTGTGTTAACCCCGGTGTATTTATTGTGTGCATCACGCCATTACACTGTGATAGAACTGAATCCATGCAATTACTCGATCAATGTTATTTTATGGAGTGAAAACTAAAACATTGAGTTAAGAATAGAAGAAAAAGGAAAAAAAGAACGCGTGTGTTTGTGATATAGGATCCTTAGATGACATCATACATGACGTAATAAAAAGGGTTGAATTAAAGCCCTAAAACATGATATGATGAAGACAAGTGCCTGGATTATAACTACAAACGTTGTCGTGTTCTCCCACACATTTCAGGTATATAATTTTCTATTTGATACTTGTTTTAAAGCCGCACGCCTCCAGGTGAGTAAAAATAATATCATAAAAACTAAATTAATAGAAAGTCAATCAAAGAAATGTACATGTATACATAAATGTTAGGAAACAATCCTGCATAGTGGTGCAAATATCAAATAATTTAATACATCAGTTATCACCGCATTTATACCGGTTACTAAAAGGGTTATTACTGCTTATTTTCACATGTTATTTGTATTTTCTCTGGATATTAAGTGTCTCACGCTAGGTTAAATTACATTAATTGTACTAATAACATGTCATATTAAATCTATATACCATTTTTATTTGTCATTAAAATTACAATAATCTGTGGGCGAGCTTCTTTAATACTTCGGACATGTATAATGCATATTAAAGATTTTCACTCTTTGTAGAAGCGAGATTTAGCTTGAACTATTACTTTATATATAAGATTATATTTAAATATGGACATTAAATCAACGTTACAAAAACGCATTAAGCTGTAAATACAAATACTAATTTACATATAACTACAATTAAAGGTTTAATTCTCTACTTTAAGGTCATCAACATTGCATGTCTATATGTTACAGCTAAAATAAATATATATATTTATACTAACTTTATACACATTATACAAATAACAAGTGATATAAATTGTTACAGTGTAAATTGTTGTCGTAAATACATGTTAACAAATCACATAACGTCCCTCCGAATTGTAGCTACCGAATTGTATGGCTTGTTTGCAGTAGTGCTCAAACCAGAGTCATTCAAATTCACTTTAGTATCCAATGATTTCTCATTCTTCTAGAGGTTTTTTTAAAAAAGAAAACTAACAAACACGGAATCAATGTTACAAATCTCAGATTAAAGTGAATTGGTCTACAAATGCATCTTTTCCAAAAAAAAATTGGCAACAATAGAAATGTATCTTTTGGTAATTCAAATAATTATGTTTTTAAAAATCTGTTTTGAATGATTAAGTATTAGCATTCAAATTATGAATATTAACATTTTGTCCAGGAACATTTTGCATCTTCTATTTATAGATATGTAATTTTGGATGACGTATCACGCAACAACATACATATACAAAATTCCCTCGATATTTGTTGTCACATATGATACTATAACGTCTACCAACATAACTAGTAAAGGTATAACAGACTGTCCATTATGGATCAAATCTCGATTTAATGTATAAAAGCATCAATCTGAGTGATATAAAACAAAATGTCACATTACATCCAACGCTTCATTATGTATTTTTAATGGAAGGCAATGTCATTGACAAAACCATTAACGAAATGAAACATAAGATACTAGTTTTATCTGATCAACTTTATGTTGTTAAGAAAACCTTGGAAATGAGAAGTTCATTAACGTTAACATAAAACACTCTTTATGTATGCTTATTCACATAAAAGAGACGATTTCCGACTTTTCGAAATGTTCACAAAATGAATGTTAACGGGCACTAGAGATAGGTTGATAAAGGTTTCTGCAAGGATGAGGTCATTATGGAACAATAACCAACAAAAAACAACAGCAAATAAGTTGTAATAACATATTGGATTTGATTGCGTATTTTCAAGAGTGAAACAAAAAATAAAGGTACGATATCTATACGGTATAAACTTCCCAGTAGTGATTATGCTGCTCACCAAGGCGGTGCCCCTCTGAGTTCCTCAGAGGTATGTCTTGTTTATTGTTTCATGCTATCGTGATGACATTTTTCTGTCCTTTTGTCTATTCTTGTTTTTTAATCGTCCACGGTAAGTATCTTCCCTTTTCCCCTAGTTTTCTTTCTTTCTTTTTGTCACCCCACTTTTTCCCCGACCCTCTGGTCCCTTCCCTTACACCCTTGTACTTTTGTTTACCTACTGATAAAATGTCCTTTTTAAAGTTTTCCTGTCGGTCTTTATTTCTTATTCTGTTTTATTTAAATTTACACCCTGGCCGTGTTTTGCCTTTTGTCCTCCTGTTTTTGTGCGGTGTCCTGCTGTGCTCCTTGCTGGTAGACCTGTTTGCTGGGTCGTGTGAGGGACGCGTTCATTGAATGCCATTCTTCCTTGTTGGTCTTGTTTGTTTTTTCTCTCAATATTTTAGCAATATTCAATCTTAAACACGATTTGAATAATTGATCCCGAAGGGCAAGAAAATATAGTTCACTCCATCTCCTGTTTTGGTGTAACTGAGTATGACAGATCTCGCGAGAAGAATAAAATAAGACTGATACGTAAAATTGTAGGTTTTATTTCCATTAAGTAATTATCGTTAATGTAAAATAATTACGCTAAAATTTTATTATTAATGGAGTTAGCTTCGTTTAATGGCTGTTTTGGAGGAAGCTTGCCATTTATCCTTTACCACGGTAAATATCTAAAATGGACTTGTCCATCTTCCAAACTTGACAATACCATGAATCATTTAAAGGAGAATTTTCAAAATGTATTTTGACTGAAAAGCGAACAGTGCAGACCGTGATCAGACGGTACGCTTGTGCCAGTTGAGCTTGGGTCTGTTCTGGTCGGATGCATAGAAACAGTTGCCGCGAGCAGGATAAGCGTTAAATTGCTAAAGGTCGTAGATTCTATTTACGTGTCTGATATTGAAGCTAGCGTCTTCATGTCTATGTCTCCTAGCACTTGCTTAAACAGAACTCAATCATTTAAAATTGATAATACTGTTTACTCTCTGAAATTTAAAATCTTTCGCAAAGCATAGCAAGTTATAAAGAATGTTAGTGAAATAAAAGATTTGAAATATAGCTAAGCGGTGCCGGGGGCGTGAACACCTCTACCTACACCTCTCCATGAACAGGCTCTTCCAAACCGAGTTTGCCGTGTTTAAAATTTTACAGTTATGGGCGCTCTATAGGAGTTCCGCTTTGTCTTTTTTTTCTCAAAAAAGTTCAGAGTATTGTAACTTTAAAATTGCATCGTCGATTTAGAAATTCAGCTTTTAATTAACTTCTTAGTCTTAAGGTTGACAAATGTAAAATATGACAGAAATAATGTCTTAGATCTTAGTTCAGTGTCCTACCCTCTACGTAAATTATCACCTTCGTTATCTGCTGTAAACCTCCGTCATTTTCCTCAATTATTGACATTTAAATTCAATATTACGCGAGGGAGTACATGACGTACGGCAAGACTGAGAAAAATAATTATCTTTATATTTTGTATTAAGCGGTGTCCCACCGGTCGCTATCTTATATGCTTGTATGAGTATGTAGGTGAAAGTAGATATTTATCATAACAGTGCTACCATAGAAATGAATGAAAGGTTGCAAAATGTTTAGTGATTAATGTTATTACATCGTTTTATTATAACTTTTTTTATAAATATTGAACAATCTGCCCGATAGGAAAGATACAAATTCTCAAATATAAGTAAAGATCACCAGGCTAAAACAAAGTTCTCTGCACGTAGCCGTTACATTATCCTGTCGCACAGGGAACTCCTAGAGAGAGGACAATTCTAATCTTTACTAAGTTACAATAACAAAGATTAAAATATCAGCCAATTATGTGTTCATTATCGTTTAAATGTTATAAAATTAAACCTTTTTTTTATAAAAAAAATACTCCAGCGGCATTGATTTCGTTTGAAATATTAGAACCATTCTTAAAGGATCTCGTTTGTTTGTAAAAAAAATATGACACAAAAATGATAATGTGTGCTCCCACACGTTGCATTGACAAGAGCACGTGCACAAATAGATCATTAAAGTAAAACGGATAAAAATCTATTTCACTTATTCAAGACATTCAATTTAAGTTTCAAAATAGTTTTTGCACTTTATACCTGCATTCACGAGCAATTGATTTGACACAAACTTTCAATTGTTTGTTTGAATAACAAAATTAAAATATGAAGTGCAACCTTTTCATTAAAATACAATATGTGTATAAGAAAAGTGTGTGTGTATTAAAACAGTTTGATATTTGCTTAAAAAAGCTTCCACGGGACAAAACAAGTAAACGATTACTTTTCGTCAAGTTTTTAATAGGATTTGAAAAGATTAGCACAAAATGTGCTATTATTTGTTAATATATTTCTTCATCGTATTATGAGATAATTTGGAATCAATTAAAGTTGTGGCCTATTACAGTTAACACTCTCATTGCACCCGTTGCTTTATGGTTAAATTATTTGCTTGCTATTACAGTAAAGGTAATATTCTTGAGTAGAAAACCAGTTAAATTGATGGGTATGAATGTATAATAATAACAATTCAATTCAATTGATCGAATACGTGAATAAAATATCTTAAAGGACCAAAAAAGCGTCAAAAATGCTTTTAATTTTCAAAAGTGTTTTATGGTACTCACTTTCCGTATACCGGGTATTGAGCCGTCTTGTGTGTGTCTCTTGCATTGTGGCAATTACTACAGTTACAATGATTTAGCTCTTTGTCTTGAAGTTAAAATACTACCTTTTGCTACCTTTATCACACATTATTTTACGTTCTAAAGCTGTTTCTTCTGATAATAAGCATGTTACATGTTCTAAATCAATTACTGCGACATTATAAAACATATTTGTCCTTTCTACAGAGGGAAAATTAATTTATTTCTACGGCCTAATAAGACAATTATCTTAACAAAATTTCACACGCAAAACTGTTGTCAGACAAAAAATTGTGTTACCAATACTCGTATTTCATTTGTTCTTGAAACAAAATAATGATAAAAGCAAAAAAACACCTGTATTTGTACTTTTTTATTTGGTATGAAAAGATGATGAGCTTTTGTTAAAGTTCTTCAGTTTTCAAAAATAACCTATTAATCTACAAGTTAATAAGTTGAACTATTGTCCTGTTCTGTTTCACAACTCATAAAGCACCACTTTTATGTTTACTGATACTATTTGAGTCTTGTATTGAAGTATTCTATTTGAATATAACACTCTATATTTGTTGTAATATAGTTCTATATCCTGCGATATTTTTCCGCCAGCTTCTATATTCGGCCTGAACGCACTCA